AATATAATATTCTGGAGGGCAAAGGAGATAGGATTACAACCAAGAATCACCTACCCAGTGAAACTGAGTATAATTCTTCAGGGGAAAAAAATGGTCATTCAGTAAGATAGAGGACTGTCAAGCATTCTTGATGAAAAGACCAGAGCTGAATAGAAAATTTGACTTTCCAATACAAGACTCAAGTGGAACATGAAGAGGTAAACAGGCAAGAGAAATCATAAGAGACTTATTAAGGTTGAGCTGTTTATATTTCTGCATGGAAAAATGATATTTGTAACTCATGAGACCTTTGTCAGTATTAGGGTAGTTGGAGGGAAAAAATTATATGTATGTATGTATGGATAGATAGATGGATGGATGGATAGATAAATAGATAGAGGGCACAGGGTGAGTTGAAGATGAAGGGGTCGTATCTGGAGAATAAAATTAAGGGGTGAGAGAGGATTATACTAGGAGAAGGAGAAAGGGAAAGGTAGAATGGGGTAAATTATCTCACAAAAAAAAACAGAAAAGGCTCTTACAGTAGAGGGGAAATGGGGGAAGGTGAGAGGGAATGAGTGAATCTTATTCTCATAGGATTTGACTTAAGAAAGGAATAACATACACACTCAATTGGGTATGGAAATCTTTCTTACCCTACAGACTGCGTTAGTTCATTCTGTGGAGGTGGATAGCATTTTTTTATCCTAAGTCCTTTGGAATTATCTTGAATCATTGTATTGCTGAGAATAGCTAAGTCATTCACGGTTGATTATCGTACAATATTGCTGTTACTCTGTACAATGTTCTTCTGGTTCTGCTTATTTCACTTTGCATCAGTTCATACAAGTCTTACATATATCTCACATATCTATAGAATTTTAAGGTTTGTGAAGTACTTGGCTCGCCAGACCACTAGTTTGTTGAAAGAAATTAGCTAAGAGTTGCTGTAATTACATAAAGTATCTTTTTTATACTTTTCTTTTGGAATTAATGTTGACCCTTGCCCTAACTAGTTGATGATCTGAGTACACAGAAGCAGCTCATTATTTAAAAAAAAAAATAGTGAAAGAAAGAAAAGAAAAAAAAACACTATTTCAGTAACTAGGTGTTCTCTGTGTGTTCAGTGTTTTGTTTTTGTTTTTGTTTTTTTTTTCCCTGAGGCATGAGGCATAGAGAATACAGTGCTGGGATTAGAGGGAAAAACCATACGGGTTCCAGTACCTGTGACAACTGCTATTGTTTTGTGATCCTGAGTGAGCCACTTACTGACATCTATGTGTTTCATTCAACTGCCAAAGATTTACCGTCATAAGTTTTTGTTGCCTCTGCTATTGGGATACGTATCCCATGTTGATGGGAATCATAGATCCTTCACATATTCATAAAATATCTTATGTTTGACTAAATGAAATAATATTGTAAAGTGTTTAGTATTGTGCCTGGAACATAGTAGGAACAGTGTAGCTGTTATTATTATTATCATTATTTTTATTATTGTTATTATTAGTATGAGACTTAGTCAATTTCATTTTTTTTATGTAGTTAGTACTTTCCTTGCCCGAGGAAATTGATTTTGTGTGGATGATTACCACCTTTTCTTTCTTCACCCTGATATATTTTTCAGAATATCTTTTGTTGTCCTTGTCATCATTCACATTCTCAGTTAAATCACCAAGTATCATTCTATGTATTGACTTAGTTTGGATGACCATATAAAGGGTTTTTTCATGCATCATATCTTTATCTTCTGCGTAATATGTTGGAACACCAGCTGTGATTATCTTTCCACTTGTTCATTTGATTGTGAAATATTACAAAGTCACATGACCTAATACTCAATGAAATTATGCTTTTTCTTGCCTTTGGACACATGATAAAAATAACTCCACCAACTCATCTCTTCAATGAGAATCTTTGAGCCATTCTTTAGTTTACATGTTACTTATTGATGTCTTCTGATTTCATTTATTGTGGTATCATTAATAATAAGAAGAATGATAATACCTTGCATTTATAAAGTACAATAAAATTTGCCAAATACTTTACAAAATATTATCTCATTTTATCCTCAGAGCATCCCTATGAACTAGGCACTTTTATTATCCTTGTTTTACAGATGAGGAAATTGACACACAGAGAGGTTAAGTGTCTTGTCCAGGATTATATAGCAAGTAAATGTTTGAGAGAAGATTTGAATTCATGTCTTCTTGACTCTAAATTGAGTTCTATCTACTGTGCCACTTTGTGCAATATAGATATGGTCTATTTCCTAGAGTCGCCTTTGGACAAAGATCACATATTAAGAGTGATTTCAGTAAATTAATGTGCATAAATAGTCTAATAATTTTGTGATTCTCAGAAACCTCTTTCCCCTTCTCTATCATTCCATCACTCTGGAAAGAGGGGTGAGGGCCTTTTTGTATTTGTATCTGTTTCATGGTTCCCTGTGAACAAAGTATTCAGATCATCTAGTCAGCCACCAGGTTATCATATCGGATATTTGAAAAATTCTACAAAAATAATTTTTCATAAATATAAGCTAGCACAACCATTTCTGTTTGTATAGAACAGAGGCATGATGGGAGGAGGTTAAAAGCATTTCTGCACCATTGGTTCACTCAATTTTTCTTCTTTTTGAGGAAGTAGATTTCTAGAGATAATTGGTTGAAGGTAGGAGGTAGTATGATGAGACTTTTGAACTAATGTGAATTGTTTTTAGATTCAGATATTTGTATTTTTATAAATCAGGACATAAAAGTGTAAAATAATCCCATGAAAAAATCTTTTTGTTTAAATATAGAGCACCATGTGGCCTAAGGAGTTACGAAATAAATAGACATCTATGGTCTTCCACTTTCAACTCAATCATTTATAATCCATGCCTCCATTCTTCCTCCAAAGAAGCGCTAAAAATAAATCTAGAGTTAATTTTTTTTTGCCTTAAGTTAGATTGAGATATTACAGTGAGACATTGAGATATTACAGTGAAACAATAGAGAACAGAGAATCAACAGAAGAGTCAAGAGTTTAATGGAGTCAAGAGTACAGAGAAAATTCAGAGCCAGCCTGAGTTTAATCTCTGATTTTGTTAGCTTCTGATACCTCTTGGATGAGAAGATGAGCTTCAAAGTCATTAGCTAAGAGGCCTGATTATGAAGAGCATTCATCTTCTCTGTTGAGAACTAATCTGAGCACTCACCAGTAGGTAGAGTACAGTATAACAGGTTCCTCTGCAGCTAGCACCTGAGGGATACACAGATGGAGGTTGAAACATCCATTGCCCTCCCTCCAGGATGGAAATGTATTAACGATCTTAGGTGGATGGTGACGATATTTGATAGAGGTGATTAAGAGTCATGAATTGCCCCTCAGTACCTAAGCTCAGGTCACCCCTGTTCCTTGTGTGTGTACCCCTTCAAACAGGTGCCACATACATTCTGGCCGTACAAATTCCTCATAGATGGATACTGTACATACTCTTCCTATGCAGATTTACTCTTCTCATGGAATTATAGACATTTATTAGAGAGTGAGTTTCAGGTATTTTTTTTGGACAACATTCTATTGTTACTTCTGTTGCATTGGTATTTAATTAAGTGCCTTTGTTGTGAGTTGTGTCTCCTCTGGTTGACTATTAAAAGTAAATACATTGGTTGGAGTTCATGCTTTATAATTTATAGAGAATTTTGATTTACAAAGGCCCTAGAACTGGAACCCTGGAATGCCTGGGTGAGGGAATTGGGTTCTTTTGTTTGTTTGTTTGTTTTTTGTTTTTTGTTTTTTTTCGGCTAGGCAATGGGGTTAAGAGACTTGCCCAGAGTTACACAGCTAGTAAGTGTGATGTGTCTGAGGCCGGATTTGAGCTCAGGTCCTCCTGAATCCAGGGCCAGTGCCCTATCCACTGTGCCACCTAGCTGCCCCGGAATTGGGTTCTGAATACTACTTTGTGAATGGCGATTTGTGAGTTTCTGAATAACTTATTTATTAACTTTGGGAAATTTGCATTCAGAAGGGATCTAGTTGATTTGTTTGTTTTTTCAGCAACTATCCACTCTGTCGTGTAAGACACAGTGATAGGAATAGTTTATTAGAGATCTAAATGCATTGTGAAGTGGTTTTCATAAAATGATGTCATGAACTTCAGTGACAGCTTTATAGTGAAGCGTTATAATCAATTCTCATGCTTAAGAAATTTAGGATAAATGGGCAATAATGGTATAATTATTCAGATTCTCATCAAAAGCAAGAGAGATGAAGCAAGCATTTACTGGAATAAGGTTACATATTATAACTACAGTGAGTGCCTAAGTGAGTGAATTCTTTTTCAATGAACTACTTTATCTGGTCAAGCAACTTAATATAAATGCATCAAGAGAGAACATGGCAATAAGATTAATGGAAGATAGAAAGCTGAGGAGAAATGACCGTAAGATGGTGCTTCCTTCTATTCTGGATGGAGCTGTTGGCCTGCTCTCTGAAAGTAAATCAGTTTTCTTTGTTACAGAGCTTCCTACGGAAATGTTTATATACCTAATCAGTTTTTGTTCATTCCTTTTTCTTGTGCATTAAATCACTTTTGAGTAAGTGCTTTGAGCATGATTTTTGAAACCACAGTAATACACTCTCAAACACCCTGGGAAGACACAACACCATGAGAAATCTCCATTAGGAATAACACTCTTTGATTACCTCTGCCAGCTTAAGTAGATAAGAGTTTCTGGAAATTCTTGTATCATCTTGGTTCAACTGAGCTCATTGGACCTATGAGATAAAAATATATATACACACACATACATACACACACACAGACACACATATATACATATACACACATATATACATATATATATATAGTCTGCTGTTTCTCAATTTATAATATCATGAAAAATGAATAACTCATATACAGTATATAATAAAAATAATTTGATAGCGTTGGGATTTTAGAGTCTGTTTCCAAACTTTGCATTTTAAATAGGATTTCCTGACATTTGTATCTGTATCTATATTTCCCTTTGTAGGGGAGTCGGCTGCATCTTTGTTGAAATGATTCAAGGAGTTGCTGCTTTTCCAGGAATGAAAGACATTCAGGATCAACTTGAACGAATATTTCTGGTAAGTTTTCTAGAGAATGGGCTTCTATTTTTTTATTTTTCATTTTGCTGACTAATTGATACAGTGATTGATAGAATGCCATTTGAAAAAAAATTCATTTGTTGTGCCAAATATCGGTAACATAGACAAGAGTAAAAAAGTTTAGTGTTACAATCTGAGACCAAACACTGTCTATAAATGCCATTACCAAAAGGACAGCATCCTAGACTCACAATTGAAGTGTTAACTGAATGCACAATTGTGATACAAGCTCTTATTTATTTGTAAGATTGTAAATAATGACAAATTAAAACTGGCAAATTCAGAAGAATTTGTTCTGTGTCTCTTGGCAAAATTGTATTACTGTGGGCTATAAGGCAAAATGTGGAACCAGCCCTGTTCTATCAAACTGGGCGAAACACTGTTCTATGTTAAAATAGAATCATATTTGTTGGGATAGAAGAGTACCATCTGAACCACTTTTTCATAATGCAACTTTCTGTTTAGCCAAGAAGAGTCTGAAGTGGGCCAGGTGATGCATGTTTCAATGTTCTTTGTGGTCCTAGCCATATTTCTCTCTTTATAAATGTCATTGTTGTATTATCATCATTGTCATCTCTCTATGTGTATCTGGTAATAGATATCTGTGAAATGATAAATCAGTTAATAAATATTTATTATTCACTTTCTACCTGCCAGGCACTGTGCTAAAACTAGAAGCAAAGGACAGTCCTTGTCCTTAAGGGGCTTATAATCTAACAGGTGGGATGACAAGCAAAATAGAAGTACAAATAAGTTATATTGGATAAATTGGAAATAATTAAAAGAAGAAAGGCACTTGAAATAAGAAGGGGTTGAAAAAAGCTTCTTATGAAAAGCCAATTCTTCCCCCCCCCCCCAACTCCTTCCTCCTATTGGGCCTACCTGATGGAGATGATTGTCGCTATCCCCAAGGTAGGTGTAAAGGTTATATGAAAACTCCTCTACTCTTATCACTTCTGGATCTAGGTCTTTAAATCCTTGATTGAAATTAGTTTTCAGAAATTCTGCTTTCTGAGGATGGAGGAAGAATCGTTGGTCTCCTAGAAATAAATCACTGATTCCCTTCTATAACCAAAGACAACTGTACAGTCAGATCCCTATATTGCTCATCTGTACTTTGAGACTTAAATATGGACTCTATTAGAATTCACTTTTCTAAAACTGCATTGATCAAGATGCTCTCCTCTTTTTTCTACTAGCCTTTAAAAAAATCCCCTATTTTTAAATTTAAGTATGATGGCAGTACATTCCTAGTGTGAACTTTAGTAATTATTTTTAAAACCTGAGGAAACTGGGGTCAGTATATCAATAGAGATTTTTTAAAATCCAGCTTATTTTTGGCATATTTTGCTTCCTTTGAGACTCTTCTTTTTTTCTAAACATGTGATAATCTTCAATATATTGTAATTAACCCAGGGGCTGTAATTAACCAGACTTTATTTCCTGGCTTCCTTCTTCCTCTGTTCTTTTCTACCATTTCTTTTTTTTTTCTCTGGCAATTGGGGTTAAGTGACTTGCCCTGGGTCACACAGCTAGTAACTTTCAAGTGTTTGGTCTGAGGCCGGATTTGAACTCAGGTCCTCCTGACTTCAGGGCCAGTGCTCTATCCACTGTGCCACCTAGCTGCCCCTCTTTCCTACCAATTCAATGATCTTTATCATCTCTGAGAATTAAGGGAGATGAAACTCTGCCAAATCCATCTGATTGCTTGCTCTTAGCTCTGGCTAGCAAAGTTGTTGTTGTTTTTTTCTTTTTTTTTTTTTATTCTTTGTGACGGTTATAAATAAATCCAAAATGAGATTTTGAGTATCAACTATTTAAGTAATTGAAGCCCCTTCTCATTCCGTGCCCAGTCCACCTTCTTTCCAGACATGCCACATGTGGCTTCCCACTCGGTTTCAGCCAAACTGTTTTACTAGCTGTATATGACATTGTCTCTCACCTCCGCGCTTTTGCCCAGCCTCACTGCTTGATGAAAATGCTGTCTTTCCTCGTCTTCACCTCTTGGCATCTTTGTGTTCCTTCATATCTCAGTGACGTGTTGCATAAAATCGCTCCTGATTGTTCCATCTGCTAGTACTGCATTGCCCAGATATGTTCTGTATTTATTTTAATGGCCAGGTTAGGTCAGACATCGTGGAAAATAGCATTGATTTTGGAGTCAGAGGACCTGGGTTCAAATCTCAGCTCTGCCATTTAATACCTGTGTGACTTAACCTCTGTGGGCTTCAGTTTCCTCATCTCTAAAATGAGGGGGTGAGACCAGGTGACCTCTAATGGACTCCCAGCTCTAAAACCCTGGCCTTCTATTATCTGATCTCGCAGATTATGTCAAATTGCATCATTTTCCTCTGTGAAATATAAGCTTTCTGAGGGCAGGGAATGTTTTTGTCTGTCCCGAGTTCCTGTACACACAGTAGGCATTTATAATACTTGTTGCATGAGTGAATGAACGAATGACATCCAGTCCAATTAGTTATAACAAAAAAGGGTCAGTGTAAACTTAAAAGGAGTTGTTCTTCAATGTAGGCTTCTCCATGAGCTGCACAATCATGACCTGTAGAGCACGATCTGATCCCAAAAGGGAATGGACGCCTTCCTTGTTAAAAAAAACTCTTTTCCAGTAGACTCTCAGGCCATCTTTTAATCATCTCTTCATATTAGGAGTAGAGTTGTCGAGTTAGAACTATGAAGTGGCAGCTGAAAAATTTTGAGAAGCACATTTTTAGCAAGATGCAACATATGCATATTTTTATAATTGTGATAGGAGTATTAATAGCTTTCATTTAGATTTTTATTTTGAAGTCTATCTTAAGAACTTTTAGAGTCAGTAAAAGTGTACTTCAAAAACAAACATTAAATTATGTCTGAGTTTAAAATGTTCTTTGAAAATATTTCCCCAAATTTTTATTTTGTTCCTTATTTCCCATTGTGTGCTTTCCCGTTCATTAAAATTGTTTTATTACTCATTGGGATTTATTCACTTTTCTTCAGGATGCCAGCAATAGTTCAAACAATTTTATCATGTTACTTTTTTTGTAAACTAGGTTTTTTTTTAAAAGATATAAACAATGTAGGAGGAGTTGCAAAATCCCTTAGAAGCTTTTTTTTGGGATAGAAGAAATTGAATTAGGAGGGAAATGCCTATTTCCTTGGGCTGTACTGCTGAAAAACAATATACAGAATGAATGAAAGGTTAGGTTATTGGATTGCTTGACAGAGCTTGTCGAAGTGAATTCTTAAAATATTTATTATTTATGTAATTTACTAATTTCCCAATAGATATGATCATACTAGGTTGCTTCCAAGGGGTTTTGCTCCTATTACTTAATTTTATGGTGCATTTTAATACTTTTTATGAGTATCCAGAGACTTTTGGAAAATGTGTAGTCTTTTAATAAATCAAAGAAATAAATAATTGCAAATTCCCCTCAGAGTGCATGAAATTATTGATACAGGAGACTATTGTCTCTTATTAGAGAACAGAGACCTTTAAAATGCAGGTAATTATTGTGATGGATGTTAATAGCTCCTACAATGGCTCTGGCTGCTTCATCCTATGTATGGAATATCTTTTACGGATGAAGAGTCTTTTTTGAAGATTAGAATTTTCTCTCCCTCTAAAAATTATTCCTTTAAAATTGAGTGACCTGATGTTTAATCTTTAAGAAACAGATATCATCAAAATACCTAATCTATTGTCTTATTCTGGAAATCAGTGGTTCAATTTGAAATATTTCAGCTTAAAAAATAAGACAGGTGTAAAGTTTCTTTTATAAATTATCTTGAATATCTGGGATATGCTAGATTTGACTTCTGGTAGATCTCTTTGAAGAGGAAATGTTGTGTATTCAGTATGGTTGAATTGATGGTAGTTACCAGGGGATGGAGTGGACATGTTTTTATGTCATGTTCTAATATAGAGTGTATTTTAAAACCCAATTTAAGTCCCCTTAAAAGAGGACTATATTATACTAGGAACATCAAAAATACCCTTTACTGAAGTAGCAGTTATGAGTTCCATTCTGGCATAAGCATCGTTAAGCAGATAATCAATTTTAAAATAGTAAAACAGGGGGATTATTCTTGTTCTTTTTGTATTTTAACAGGAGGATTAAATTCATTCATTTCCTTTGTGAATTACATACAGAAAGGTAGTTAATAACTTTGGAGTGCAAAATTAATCAGGTTAATCCCACCCCATGCCCCCAATAACTAATACAATTAACTATCACACACTGAGAATTATTTTTTAAACTGTGAAAGAAATAAGAACCATACTGCAAAAGCATTTTTTTTCTTTGCAAGGTTCTCTCAGTGGCTGGGGTTAAGGGGGGGAAAGCAAGAGGGAAACTTCTTTATCAAAAAAGATATCTGCATCTGTAATAAAATAATTCCATGAAACAGGGTAAGGGTCAAACAGAGCTGATACTGGGGTTGGCAAGATAGACAGCCCCTTAAGTGGTGATTTGGGGGAAACTCATGAAGGATGCTATTTAATACTGTACACATTTTCAGTGCCTGAAAATTCCGTAGTCTAGGACATGTAAGTATTTATTCTGCGGTAGGTTGCATGTTTTCAGTGATGGTTCTGATGGATAGTAACATGTGGAGGGTCCAGTTTTCTAATGGGGGGCAGTGGCACACTGCAGTTATATAAATCTTGCCCGAGGTGCACACGTCTCATTCTGCCTCTGGTGTCAATGATAAATGTACTCCATGAGATGTGCTTTGTCTAATCTGCCTTCAGCAATACCGTTTTCAGAGATTTTATGACGTAGTGTTATGAGTATAACTTATGACATAGCATTGCTTCACACATTGGTTAAATAATAAATGAGTGAAAAACTAATAAGATTCCTTTTTCTTGCAAATTATTCTCATGCTTAGGAGAGAAGCAATACAGAGCAATCAGTAATCATCTTTAAGGAATTGCTGAATTCTGGATAAATAATTTTCAAGATCATGTGGACAAAAAT